ATTTTAAGGCCCATTTAGTCACTGCTGGTATTTAGTTGCTTAAGTGTAGCGAACATTTTGGGTTTTTTTAACAAATTAATTTTTTAGCATTTTACAATCAATTTATGCAGCGATTTTAAATTCTGAAGTCATGAATCGTTAATTAATCAATCATAAAATAATTTATAAACATTTGATAACAATTTGGTCAATGTTATATGAGAATATTTCGTTGATAGATCCAAAATTTATATTAAGCAATTTGTGTGTGAGAATAGCTCATTTGTCGAACCTGCACATCCTGCACATGCTTGTTTAATATTTTCACAATAATGTGCGTGTATTTTAATACTATGCAGTACTGTGAACTTATGAACAAGTATACTCATGCAGATGTTTAGTCTATAGCTTAATTGTTCTTGATGCAGAGCGTAATTTTGAGTTCACAGCTACAGCTTGTTTAATATTTTCACAATAATGTGCGTGTATTTTAATACTATGCAGTACTGTGAACTTATGAACAAGTATACTAATGCAGATGTTTAGTCTATAGCTTAATTGTTCTTGATGCAGAGCGTAATTTTGAGTTCACAGCTACAGTAAATGGTTATTTCCATAGACAACTAAGTTCTTTTTTAGAAACTGATGGCACTGCAATCGAAAAATAATAATATCCTGCGATAAGTATTCCAAAAAACTATAAATAATAAACATCCTAATGACATGAACTATAACAAAATGTCAGACAAACAATTAATTTTTAGTGCAGCTTAAGTGGTTACCACGTTGATCACTAAGCGTGATTTGGTTAGCCCATGGTTCGATCCCCAGGCGCTGCCAATCAACATCAGTTTATGATAAATTATTAGTATCTATCAAAACGCCCTCCTTCGGCGGTATACTCTATAGTATTAAATCATCGCCGAAGTAAAATAAATACAAATTGGCTATAAAAAGATTAAACAAATGCGCCTACTCAACACCAGAGGCGCTGCAACACTGTTCTAAAAATAATGTAAATAAAAAAAGCTTTCATCTATCCTTCACTTTCTCCTCTACTCTATCCCTTTCCAAAAAAAGTAACACGGTCTATGTATTTATAGGCATTAATGCCTGAGTGTTACTTCTCTTCCAACCAATACCAGAGAGAAATATATTTTTTTGGTTACGAATACAATTATCGTAACCCAAAAATTTTTATTGGTTATATTTTTTTCAAATATCTTGGTTTGGTTATGAATAATTGTTGTTATATACTTGTTTTAGTAATACTTGTAATTTTATAATTGTATTTCAATCACATAAGTTTTGTTTATAGAAAATGTTTTTTTGTCAAATATTTTCATATTCGAATTTTTTTAATTAACTTTAATTTCTCAATAAATACACATAATATTTTGTTATAAAAACTGCGTACTCCAAATTATAAGAGGTTATGGGCGATAGCAAGCGTGAATCTTCTCACGGTATCTTACTATTCCGTGGAGACAATTTTGAAAACTGGAGTTTTCGTGTACTGATTTACTTAGATTCTTTGAATCTGTTGGATGCTATCAATGATGTTCCCCCAGCCGAGCCTGTATTAGGCGAACCCTTTATAGTAAAGGACAAGAAAGCTAAAGCAACTTTGGTCAGTTTAATTTCTGATGAATATCTGGAATGTGTACGAGATAAAAATACTGCTAAGGAGATGTGGTCAGCTTTGCTCAAAACATTTGTAAAGAAGTCTATTACGAGTCAGACGTTATTGAGAAAACAGTTGGCCTTATTGAAAATGAAGTCTGACGATGATCTCCGTAAACATTTGTTAATGTTTAATGATATAATAATGAAACTTAAAACATCTGGTGCTCAATTATCTAAAAATGATATTGTTGCTCAACTTTTTGTCACACTACCAGAAAGCTTTGACCCGGTAGTGGCCGCGTTGGAAAATATGAGAGAAGCGGATTTGAATATTGATATAGTGAATCAGAGGTTACTTGCTGAAGATGCAAAGACGCAAGATCGTTTTGATTCTGAAGTGATGAAGACGGCAGCATTTAGCGGAGAAACCAAATATAACAAATTTAATGGCGTATGTTTCGTTGTAAGAAAAAGGCGCATAAACAAAAGGATTGTCGTGTGCGTTTAGCAACAAACAAAAGAGCAAGTACAGCATCAACATCAAAAGCAATATGCTTTATGTCAGGAGTTTTAAAAAGAACCCCATCCAATTCGCAAAATATTTTGAAATTTAAAATTGAATCTGGCGCTACCGATCACATGTGCAAGCTTAAGTGGTGTTTTAACAATTTGGAAAATCTTGAGAATCCTCTATGTATTAGTGTTGCCAAAGACACAGAAAAGATGATAGCTCAACAGCGTGGTGGTGTCACGGGATACTCAAGCAATGTGTTAATTAATATTAAAGATGTTTTATGTTCCAGGACTTCGCGATAATCTGCTGTCTGTTTCAAAACTAACAGCAAATGGAATAAGTGTGAAATTTTATGAAAAGGTTGCCGTTTTCAAGAAAGATGATGAAGTCATAATGAAAGCCTACAAGAAAGGTGATTTGTACGAAATAGAATTAAAAATTGTACAAAACAAAGAAGCAAATGCAACTACTACTGAGTCCAGTATGTTATGGCATTCAAGAATGGGTCAAGCAAGTGATACGAGTATGCAAGAAGTCGTTAATAATAAGATGGTAGATGACATTAATTGTTTCAATCCTGTTGGTATGTGTGATACGTGTATTCAAGGTAAGCAATGCCGTAACCCATTCAGTGGAAGTCGTCCAAAGTCAAGTCGTATTCTGGAAAGAATTCATACAGATGTATGTGGACCGTTTGAACCCCAAACATGGGATGGTTATAGATATTTTGTTAGTTTTATTGACGACTTCAGTCATTTCACATACATATATTTAATGAAAAAGAAATCCGAGATTTTTCAAAAATTTGTTAAATATGAAACAATGGCAACTGCGTTGCATAATGTTCCGATTGCTATGGTAACTGTAGACCAGGGTAGGGAGTACTCATCAAATGAGGCTAAAGAATATTTTAAAGGAAAGGGAATACAAATTCAAACGACTGTAGCATTTACTCCCCAGCAAAATGGAGTTGCTGAGAGGTTTAATCGAACTTTAGTGGAAAAGATGCGATCAATAATAGTTGAGGCAAATTCGCCAAAGTTTTGTGGGGTGAGGCTGCTTTAACAGCAACATACTTGATAAATAGATCCCCAAGTAAAGCTATTGATGACAGGAAAACTCCTGCTGAGATATGGTATAATAGAAAGCCAGATGTTTCAAAATTAAAAGTTTTTGGCTGCAAGTTTTCAAGTTTTTTCTAGACATAAATTATTTTTGACCCTGAAAGGGTTAAAGATGAACTTGAATCAATGAGGAAAAACGAAGTATGGGAATTAGTTCTACGTCCAAAAGGTAAAAAGCTACTTAAATCAAGGTGGGTGGTGGAACGGATACTAAAAAGATTTGTAATGAGCGACTGTAACCATGAAAAAACTCCTATGGAAAAAGGTTTATGTCTTTCTTAAAATAAATCAAATATACAAACTAAGAATCCATATCGTGAAATGTTGGGCAGTTTAATGTACCTGATGTTAAGTGTTCGACCAAATATATGTTACCAGATTGGATATATGGGAAGATTTCAAAACAACCCTAGTGATATTCATTGGACAAGTTTAAAACGTATAGTTCGTTATATCAAAGGCTCAAAAGATTTAAAACTGATTTATTCAAGACATTTTGGTAACAATGAAATTATTGGTTTTGTAGATGCTGACTGGGCTTCAGACTCTGAAGATAGAAAATCTGTAAGCGGTTATATTTTTAAAGTATTTGGTTGCACAGTATCTTGGAGCAGTAAGAAAGAGACAGTAGTAGCAACGTCATCCAGCGAAGCCGAATATATTGCTTTAGTCCTGCGGTTTCTGAAGCTATTTGGATCAGAGGTATATTAATAGATCATCATATACTTTCAGAAGAAAAAGCAGTTACTATCTGTGAAGATTACAGAGGATATATTGGTATAGCCAAGAACGCTGAAAGTAAACGGTTAAAACATATTGATGTGAAATTTCATTTTGTTCGTGATTACATTTCAAAAGGCGTTATTAAATTAGAATCAATTTCAACAGATGTAAAACTTGCAGACATGTTCACAAAAGCGTTGGATTCAACCAAATTCGCTCAATTTCGAAAAGAACTTCAACTTAGTGAAGTTCTTTTCGAAATTGTTGCTATATACTTGTTTTAGTAATACTTGTAATTTAATAATTGTATTTCAATCACATAAGTTTTGTTTATAGAAAATGTTTTTTGTCAAATATTTTCATATTCGAATTTTTTAATTAACTTTAATTTCTCAATAAATACACATAATATTTTGTTTTAAAAACTGCGTACTCCAAATTATAAGAATAATAGTTATTCATAACCAAAAAAATATATTTCTCATGTTAATTGGTTACGGAGACCTAAATAATATAAATCTTATAATAATGGTTAAAAAGTCCCTAAATAAGGGATTTTTTGCATAACCTTTTCTTTCGATCGTTGATCTACGTTTTTGTTATGACAGTGAAGCAAAACAATAGTAATTAATTTGTTTTCAAGTTGTGTATGAAAATTGTTGTTTATACGCCAAACAGTCGCGTATGGAGCAAAACAATATTTTTAGTCTTAAAATTGTGGATATAGACCAAAGTTAACACTCGATATCTCGGAAATCGTATCAAATATTGAAATTCGGAATCGGGAAGAGGATGTCCAAATTATATACAATCCACTCCTAACTCAATTTTTTTTAAATGGTCGGTGGGTCAAACCAATAATATACTGACTGTCTACAAGGTTTAAATACCGCAGTGAAATTGTGTTTAAACTTTGTATTGGTACGTTTTGGAAGTCAGCCTACATATGTAAAATACATGTCGTCTGATACCACCTTTAAAGTGTACAATACAAATTTTGTATGAATATAGTTGGAAATTGCTATATTACTTACGATCAAGTCCTCCAATGTATCTCATAGTAATTTCGCAATGACCCCAAACAGCAGAAACTACAGGGTACAATTTTTTACCCTTTAAGCCCCTAAATGCAACTCCAAGGTACTGGTGATCTATGATAAAACTTAATGTTCCTTCATCCATATCAAGAGCAACTAAAAATTTATCTGGAACCAAAAAAGCTTCATCGTTCTTAAGGATTGCGGGATAGGTAATGCCTGCACAGTTTTTAGAATTGTGATATAATTTATTTCTTCCTAAGTCCCAGCCCCAGCTTTGATCTGAAGAACCAACCAAACTTTGATAACCTACAGAATGTAGTGGAGCTTCGGATGTGGCAACGCCTACTACTGCATGTGTACCTCTTTGTCTTGTAGGCCAATATATTTCCCATATATGTAATCCTTTGGTCATTCCAATTTTGCCACGTATGCAATCTGTACTTTGTGCAACTGGGTGTCTATGGAAAGTTAGTTTATCATCTTCTTTAACAAAAATGTTTAGTGATCTATCCTCAGAATTCCACGAATGTTTAAGTTGTGTTTCTTTATTTGCTGGAGGCATATCTAGTAGTATATCAATTCTTGCTGGTTTTGCAAAATCGGCCGCTAATTCCCTTGGTATAATTGGCTTAAAAGGCGTCTGTGTGTCATTTCTGTTAACAGATTTCACACTGCCGCTTATTTTTTGACCCATGTTCATACCACGGCAACTCCGAGATCTTCTTTGATCTACTAATGCAACTTTATAAGACAAGCGTAATCTTTCGAAGTCTCTTGGTTCCAGTCTAGAAAGCACAACACGAGGTGATAAAGGCGTTGGTGAAATACTAGTTCGTCGACTTCTTTCGATTGACCTTGCGGCAGGTGTTCTTCCACCTTTATATCTGAAAGATTTATGTATGTACATATTTATATTAAATATTAAAGATTACGAAAATCACAACAACTACTATATACAGTGGTGGAAAAAATAATAGAAACGACCTTATTTTGTGGTAAAAACTAAATTTTCTCAAAAACTACCCGCTAGAATTTGATGATTAGTACCTCAAATAAAAGGCATTTAACTCATCTGTTATATGATATATATATATATATATATATATATATATATATATATATATATATATATATATATATATATATATATATATATATATATATATATATATATATATATATATATATATATATATATATATATATATATATATATAATTGGCATACGAAAAAATACATAAGGTAAGATTTTTTAAACGGATTTTTTGTATTTCATTTTGAAATTTTTAATTACACTGTACGTAAAATTTCAACTTTCAAAAAGACACAGAAAAACGCCAAAACACGTAAGCTTAATTTTCAGTCGTAGAATCTAGTGGCATACTCCGTTTTGAAAAGTTGGGTCAAAATCGGGAAATATTGCATTTTAAAGTTTAAACCGGTTCTGAGTAGCGTTTAAATTTACTAATATATTAGTAACCACTTGCATACATACATACATACATACATACATACATACATACATACATACATACATACATACATACATACATACATACATACATACATACATACATACATACATACATACATACGTACATACATACATACATACATACATACAAAGGGGTATCATACGCCATGGGGGCACATCTGCCAATAGCGAATAACTTGAAAACTGAGTAATCGATTTTATAGCATTATCAAATTTTGTTTTCGTTTATCGATTATCTATCATCCCTGAAAATTTGAAACATTAACTTTACATATGATGGGAGGCAGACATGATTAATTGTTTTTCAAAGGGCTGTGAAAATTTTTTACTGTGTGGACCTTTTGTGCTAACTTTTTTAGTTTTTGTGATAGAAAAAATATATTGGTCAGTATTAGAACGTCAATTATAGTGAACAATAAGACATAATAATATTTTCGATAATATAATTTGAAGCCCGAAAAAATTGATACTAAACCCCAGAACTGCCCGTGGGGCACATGCGCCAAATATATGCAATGCTTGTGATGTAGAACAAAATTTGGTTAAAATATAGAAAAAATCAGTAATAATTTGTTTTAATTTTTTTGTTAAGTTTTGTGAAATAAACAATAAATATCTGATTTATTATACTTGGTTTAATGAATTAAAGTATACACCACTTTAGTGGGGAGGGTATATTGGATTTGTGCTGATGTTTGTAACATACAAAAATATGAGTAGATTAAGCTATGTCCGTCCGTCCGTCCGTCCGTCTGGCTGGCTGTCCATGTAAACCTTGTGCGCAAGGTACAGGTCGCAATTTTCAAGATAATTGGATGAAATTTGACGAAGGACAAAGCCTGTTGAAAATGGTTAAAATCGGTCCATTATTTCACCTAGCCCCCATAGAACAGAACCCCCCGAAAAGAGCTTCTGAGCTCATAACTATGTTAAATATACAGATATATCGATAAAATACGTCACAACTAAGTTCTATAGAAGTCTTGATGACCCTGCCAAATTTCATAAAGATCGGACCTCATTTGACCCTAGCTCCCATACAAATTCCCCTTCAGAAAATTACTTGAATGTCCCAAATTAACTTATAAACACAAATATCGCGATGAAATTCAGCACAATAAAATATTATGTAAATATAAATATATTCACAAAATTTTATCGGGCTTGGTCCATATTTGCCCCTAGCCCCCATATAAAGCCTCTTTCAGAAAATTAGTTTTTCATCCATAAATTGCTTAAATGTATCGGAACAAGGGAATATTAAAGATAAATGCTTTATTATGAAAAATAAATCACATTTAATATTCATAACTGGTGTAGGGTATCATATGGTCGGCCACGCCCGACTATACTTTCTTACTTGTTATTTTTGTAATTTTTTCTTTTATTTCACTAATGACAAATCTGCCCCATCCCCTTGGCGCATTTACCCCATGGATGGGGCGGTATCGCCGTTTTTGGTCAGTGCGGAAAAGTTAAAAAATATGTACATCAGGATGACTTAGGAAAGATTGAAAGGAATAAAACTAAAGCCAACATATCTAAGTATCCGAACCAAGAAAAAAATTAAGAATATATATTGTGGTTTTAATTTGAGGCCGCCTCAAAAAAAAAGTGGCATATGGTCCCCCTTCTACCCTACATACATACATACATGTTTTTTTTAAATTTAAATAATCAAAATGCAGCAATTGCACAAGATTTCTTTTGTACGACTATACAATAAATATGAAACTGTTAAAATTTTCCATCACTTTACTACTAGAAATATTTGTTCTCTTTGCAATTTCTTTTAGCAGACACAAAATATTTCAAAACAATCAAAATATATTTTTCTGTTTTAGCAGCGCACGCACAGTGTTTTTGTAAAAAGATTTTATGTATGTATGTATGTATGATATAATACTGTTTACTAACAAGTTTTTACACTGTATACATTGCATAAAAAATACCTTAAAAAGTAATATCAATAAGCGCTTAAAAAATAAATAAATAAATTGCAACTGGCAGTTGCTCATTTTGCTACTGACAGCAGTAGAACCAAAAGAATATACTGCAGCTAGGAAAAAATTATCAGCACAACGATGGCCTGTGTGCGTTGCTATTGCAAAAAATATATTTCGATTGCTGTACAATAAGTAGAAATACTGTGAATGTGTGCTGCTAGAAATTTCAAAGTAATGTTGCAATTTTTAGTAGCAATAAATTAAAATGTGAACATGTTAAAATATTTTTGGTATTATATTGATAGAAATGTGTATTTTACTGCAAGTGGTTACTAATATATTAGTAAATTTAAACGCTGCTCAGAACCGGTTTAAGCTTTAAAATGCAATATTTCCCGATTTTGACCCAACTTTTCAAAACGGAGTTTTTCTGTGTCTTTTTGAAAGTTGAAATTTTACGTACAGTGTAATTAAAAATTTCAAAATGAAATACAAAAAATCCGTTTAAAAAATCTTACCTTATGTATTTTTTCGAATGCCAATTATATATATATATATATATATATATATATATATATAATATAATATAATATATATATTATATATATATATATATATATATATATATATATATATATATATATATATATATATATATATATATATATATATATAATTGGCATTCGAAAAAATACATAAGGTAAGATTTTTTAAACGGATTTTTTGTATTTCATTTTGAAATTTTTAATTACACTGTACGTAAAATTTCAACTTTCAAAAAGACACAGAAAAACGCCAAAACACGTAAGCTTAATTTTCAGTCGTAGAATCTAGTGGCATACTCCGTTTTGAAAAGTTGGGTCAAAATCGGTAAATATTGCATTTTAAAGTTTAAACCGGTTCTGAGCAGCGTTTAAATTTACTAATATATTAGTAACCACTTGCAGTAAAATACACATTTCTATCAATATAATACCAAAAATATTTTAACATGTTCACATTTTAATTTATTGCTACTAAAAATTGCAACATTACTTTGAAATTTCTGACAGCACACATTCACAGTATTTCTACCTATTGTACAGCAATCGAAATATATTTTTTGCCATAGCAACGCACACAGGCCATCGTTGTGCTGATAATTTTTTCCTAGCTGCAGTATATTCTTTTGGTTCTACTGCTGTCAGTAGCAAAATGAGCAACTGCCAGTTGCAATTTATTTATTTATTTTTTAAGCGCTTATTGATATTACTTTTTAAGGTATTTTTTATGCAATGTATACAGTGTAAAAACTTGTTAGTAAACAGTATTATATCATACATACATACATACATACATAAAATCTTTTTACAAAAACACTGTGCGTGCGCTGCTAAAACAGAAAAATATATTTTGATTGTTTTGAAATATTTTGTGTCTGCTAAAAGAAATTGCAAAGAGAACAAATATTTCTAGTAGTAAAGTGATGGAAAATTTTAACAGTTTCATATTTATTGTATAGTCGTACAAAAGAAATCTTGTGCAATTGCTGCATTTTGAATATTTAAATTTAAAAAAACATGTATGTATGTATGTATGTATGTATGTATGTATGTATGTAGGGTAGAAGGGGGACCATATGCCACTTTTTTTTTGAGGCGGCCTCAAATTAAAACCACAATATATATTCTTAATTTTTTTCTTGGTTCGGATACTTAGATATGTTGGCTTTAGTTTTATTCCTTTCAATCTTTCCTAAGTCATCCTGATGTACATATTTTTTAACTTTTCCGCACTGACCAAAAACGGCGATACCGCCCCATCCATGGGGTAAATGCGCCAAGGGGATGGGGCAGATTTGTCATTAGTGAAATAAAAGAAAAAATTACAAAAATAACAAGTAAGAAAGTATAGTCGGGCGTGGCCGACCATATGATACCCTACACCAGTTATGAATATTAAATGTGATTTATTTTTCATAATAAAGCATTTATCTTTAATATTCCCTTGTTCCGATACATTTAAGCAATTTATGGATGAAAAACTAATTTTCTGAAAGAGGCTTTATATGGGGGCTAGGGGCAAATATGGACCAAGCCCGATAAAATTTTGTGAATATATTTATATTTACATAATATTTTATTGTGCTGAATTTCATCGCGATATTTGTGTTTATAAGTTAATTTGGGACATTCAAGTAATTTTCTGAAGGGGAATTTGTATGGGAGCTAGGGTCAAATGAGGTCCGATCTTTATGAAATTTGGCAGGGTCATCAAGACTTCTATAGAACTTAGTTGTGACGTATTTTATCGATATATCTGTATATTTAACATAGTTATGAGCTCAGAAGCTCTTTTCGGGGGGTTCTGTTCTATGGGGGCTAGGTGAAATAATGGACCGATTTTAACCATTTTCAATAGGCTTCGTCCTTCGTCAAATTTCATCCAATTATCTTGAAAATTG